CCTGCATGTCCGGGGGGGGGGGGGGGGTAGTTTATGTTAAAAGCTCCATCTGGATGATTAAACACCAGCTTTTTATCTGTCACCCTCTGTGACCTCAGGACATCACACATGAATGTAAATAACACAACACACTGTTACTCCATGTGACCCCAGAAACTTCATGTCTGGATCAGAACCATGATTCAAACCACAGCTACATCCACGCTGACGTATTTTAGCTTCAGAATAATGATTCAAAACCAAATCAACATCCGTGCAGACAAGTGTCAGAATCAGAAATCTCTCAGTCAGCAAGTTGCACGGTGAATCATGTCATGTGATACAAAGAGGAAGAAGATTGTCCACTCTGCAGTTTGTGCTAAGTTACAGAAAATGCTACGAAGAAGGAACAGTGATGGTGAAAAGTAAGAGCACATCGAGGTGGAACTGTCAGTGACAGTGACAGTTCACCGCCGGAAGTCGAGTCATGTGAAATAAAGATGATCCGCTGTAGACAGTGTGTCCTCATCAGTGTTGTTTCATAATGGAATCATATTAATTAGAGACAGTTTAACCTCTGTGTCATTAAGACATGTAGATCAGGTTTGTCCAGTCTCTGTTGTTATTGAGCGAATGTGACTTTGTGCATTATTGTTCTGTTTTTCTGCAGCGATACACTGCCGGAGCCTTTTCACTGCAGCAGGGGCCCTTTTACTGCAGGGGCCCGGTCACTGTTGCAGGGGCCCGGTCACTGTTGCAGGGGCCCGGTCAGTGCAAACCATCAGAGAACTGTGATCCTGTAAGTCACAGTGATTTGAGATCAGTTTAAACCCAGTGTGATGAAACCAATGTAACATTTTAAGTTTCAGACGTTTTCTTTGAACTTAAACTAATTCATCTTTTCAGAGGAAAGATTTTTGAACCTCTGACCTTTAACATTGTGATAATTTGCTGCTTTCACCGTTGATGATCTCTGATCTTTTAGATTTTGGTCGTCTGGTGTGAACCTGAGTTGAACGTGTGACACAGAGAAACTACATGAGAGAAAAACAGTGTTTTTTCACTGGAGTCTGGTGTGTTGAGGATAATCAGGTTATTCAGCTGAGACTCAGAGTGGGTGGCCCCGCTCCCTCTCCCATGGGAACCTCGCTCAGCCTGCTTTCATGTGCCTCCTCACCCCTCCCTCACCCCCTCAGTGGACTGAGCTGCAGTATTATTACTGTAATCCTCACATTTACATTCAATCAAATTTTATTTGTATAGCCCATATTCACAAATCACAATTTGCCTCACAGGGCGTAACAAGGTGCGACGTCCTCTGTTGTTTTCGTCAACAAGAGTAAGGTGGATTTAATGTTGTGGAGATTTCAGAGTCAACAACTTCATCAACAGTTTGAGCTCATGTGAGACGTGTGTGTTTGTGCGTGTCCGTGTGTGTGTGTCTCTGTGTGTGTTTGTGTTATTGATGAAGATTTGATTAAAGCTACTTTCAGACGTGAAATGAAATCCAGACACTTTCCTGAAACTATGCCGAGGGGCTGTATGTGAGAACCCAAACGTCCAAGTCATTGTGTCATTCAGCAGGACAGAAATCCCCCCTGGGTCATCTGATATCGTGCTGCTAATATTGGCCTCAGGACTACATTTGGCTGCCAGTTGTTGTGTTGAGTCACATCCAGAATATTCATCTGAACACAGACTGAGCACGAAGCCTGGTTCATCCTGTCCGATAGCTGTCCCCTGACACAGTGCTGCTCTGCTTATCAAACAGCTCCAGCACAAATAATCATCGTAGCATAGAGTGTAGGAAGCATACAGCGTCTCATCGTTAGCTTCTGCTGAGCGTCACTGCCACTGGTTAGGCCTAAATTCATCCGTCTGTCAGTTTGTGTGTCTGCTGTCCGTACCTGTCAAAGATAGTTTTTAAGAGAAGAATCTTCACTCTCTAATAGAACTGTACAACCGTGTACCTACAGATCCAACAAATCCAACAGAGTGAGACATCGTAGAGTCTCCACACTGAAATTGGATTCGCTGATGGTCTTTATATACAGTCAATGATCATCTTTATATACAGGTAAAAGTGACCCCTTAAACAGGAGTCAAACTGGTTCATGTGTCCACAGTCGGAGGGGAAAACAGTCTGAAGTCAGCATTTAAATCTGTGACACTCACACAGTCTGGAGACAGATATTTTTACCTGACCAGTCTCCAGTGGATCCAGTTACAGCCCTGATCTCCTGACGGGGCCTCCCAGCCACGCCTCCAGGGCCTGGTGGGTGCGCTCTTGGCGGGCCGCCTGAAGTGTTGAACTTGTTTCTGACTGAACAAACACGTGTTGATAAGAAACATGTGAACAGTGTCACAGAGTGTGGAGGTAAAAACTGATCTGTCGTCAGTGTCACTTCAAACACTGGACACAGACTGACCCTGGTCGTCCCCAGGTCACGTCTCCTCACCTGGACTCGTCCCTCAGGACCAGTCTCTATGTCTCTTTGTCTGAGAGGAATGTGATGCAGAGGTGTGGTGTTTCCATAGCAACAGCAGGACACACACACACATGCAACACACTCTCTCTCTCTCTCATTACTAAACAAACTGCAGGAACCTTCCCTCACACATGTACTCAGATCAGCGTTAACAGTTGTTATTGTCCCTGGGAACCAGAACTGAAGCCACCAGGCTCAATAAAGAGCTACTGTCTGTGAGGGTGAACGTCTAACTTGCTGTAAACAGTGTGCAGGGACCTGTCGGGTCTGACCGTGGTGTTGCTTCATCCTCTTCCTCTCAGGACTCTGAGTCTTTGGACCGCTGCATCCAGACGTCTCTGTCCGACCTCTACCCCCCCTTCCAGGCCACGTCCTCCACCATCCTCTGTCAGGTCCTCAGTGTGGTGGAGAGCAGCTACAGTGGAGACGGCCTCCGCTACCTGCTCCACTTCCTGCTGCCGGCCAAGAAGTTCCTGCAGACACTCCAGCAACATGCCTGTGTGAGTATTACACAAGTTTCAAACTAAATCATTTTTAAAGATTATGAACTAGGTCTTAATTATGTAACGTTACTTCCATCGTGCTTTAAAGTAGTTTTTTTTTTGTTTTGGCAGCACACAGTTATTATAATGCTGTAATAAAACTACAAACAACACTTCTGTTCAGAATATTTTCGTGTTCATATTGAATCAGTAGGTCGTAGTTAATAGATGCTCTTTGTGGAGCTGTGAGTCAGAAGTTCACTCTGTGATCAACTGACTCTCACTCATGACTCAAACAGACCCCCCCCCCCTTGGGGCGTGTCTCTTCTTGTTAGTTGAACACCAAACGTGATTGGCTGATGTGTCATGCTCGGCTAAGGTGACTCGTGGGAATGTCACTCACCTGCCTTTACTCACTGTTTCAAAGTGAGTAAAGAGCTGATCAGGTTGAATTCTTCATCAGTCGTCTGGTGTTTGTTCAGAGGATCCAGTGAAATAAAAGAATCAGGAGGAGTCGACTTCACTGGAACAATAAGATGCTTTTTTTAGACTCAACAGGTTTGACTCTGAGGAGATGAACATTTAAATCTTAACTGCAGCGATGATCTGTTTAAACTTAAAGTCTCAGATTCTGTTCAACACGAGACAGAGTCTGATTCACTGAGTCGTGATCAAACGGCTGCAGAATAAGTTTCACTAACTAGATGTTTAACTGGAGTTGCAATGAAAATATGTTTCATCAAAAACAATAATCTACATTTCTCCTCTTCCTCCTTTCCACTCCTCCTTCCCTCCTCTCCTCATCCTCTCCTTCTCAGTGTCAGTACAGTGGAGTCTTGTTTCGTCATGAAGGCTGGCCTCTGTGTGTCCATGAGAAGGTAGTCGTTCAGCTCTGTCCTCTGGACCAGCATCTCCTGCGTCCAGGAGACTTCTATCTGCTGGTATCTCCTGCGGCTGCTCCTCCTCTTCGAGCACACAGCGCCTCCTGCAGGAGCAGCGTCGCCTCCTCCCCCAGCCTGCTTTTGTGCAGTGTGTCGGCGGGCGGTCGTCATGTGGAGCGACAGGAAGTGTCGGAGTTAGCCCTGCGGTCACTCTTCAGCATGGCCTGGCTGGACTCGGTCAACAGGGAGAGGGAGCCGCGAGGAGCGTCCAGGCTGGAGCGCTGCGTCCTCTCTGCCAATGGAGATGTCTTCAGGGTTCCCTGGGAGGACCTCGTCTACCCACAATTCCTCAGCCGGGCGCGAACCACCCGGGTGGAGGACCAAGAGTCTTCCATGAAGGAAGAGTTAGTTTCTCGAGATATTAACTCCTTGACCCAGGAAGATTTAAAGCTCCTCCCATCTCAAACAAACCAATCAGCTGCAAGCAGCGAGGCAGAGGACTCGGAGGGCGAGTACGTGGAGCTGACGGAGCTGACGCTGCCTCGCTTCTCGCCACAGAAAGGTTCTTTAACCCAGTCCATCAGCCTGCAGCTTCAAGCAAGGACCAGCTCACACAGCTCAACACACACACCTCACAATAAACAGATTCCTCACAACACGCACACGCCTCACAGCACGCACACGCCTCACAACACGCACACTGCTCACAACACACACACTCCTCACAACACGCACACGCCTCACAACACACACACGCCTCAAAACACACACACACATTCTGCTGTGAGCATGAACACCTCAACGCACACACCTCACAACAAACTAACACCTCTCCACACACACTCCTCCTGGTCCAGTGTGCAGGTCAGTTCTCACACTGGACTTTGCACCAAACTCATCGAGGAAAACTTCAAGCACGACACATGCAGACCTGTTGTCCTCACCCCCATCTCCCCCTCCAACCTCACCCCCACGTCCTCTGCTCCTCCTGAGGTCCTGGAAACTGCCATCGTTCAGTCAGAGCAGGAGGCCTCTAAGGAGCAAACACAAGGAAGTGATTCAGTCTGCACGCTGAACACTGAACCTCAAAACAGCCATGGACAGAGAGAGGAGGAGGAGGAGGAGGAGGAGGAGGAGAAGGAGTTGAAACAGGGGGAGCAAAGGAAAGAGGGAGAGATGGAGGAAAAGAGGGAAGAGGGAGAGTTGATGAAGAGTCAGGAAAGGAAGCATGAAACGTTAGTGTCAGTGGATGAGGCTGTAGAGAAGGAAGAGGAGGAGGAGAT